GGGAAATGAGGGGTGAGCGACGGGGGAAGTGAGGGGAGGGAAAAACGAAGGTTAATCTTACAGTCGCGCAGAGACGTGACGGTTGCGCTTTACCAGCGCGCATCATTGGAGGCGGCGCGCGTCACAGAAACACAGCGATGCGCCAGCTGTGGATTGCGGTACGAGATCAGCCCTATTGCGGAAAGAGTGAGCTGCTATAACGTAGTCCGTCATGATTAGAGCTCCGCGAGGGCTTGGTTGTACGATACGGACAAAAAAATAATTTGGCGAATATCCGGAATAGATAGTACGTAGGATCTGGCAGAACGTTACTATCATTCGACACGGTACTAAGAGCTAAGGCGCAAAGCTACCACGACGGATGGCGGAACTAAGAACTACGGGCGAAGGCGATAGAATGAGAGACGTGGAACATGAAATTAGGTAAACAGATCTGAGCAGAGCAGGTGGCAGATGGGAAAACCAAGATCCGAGCAGGTGGTGGTATACCAACCGAAACACAATCCCCACCAGTTTCCTTGAAACCCATTCTGCCCGAATTCCTTTCCCTCGATTTTTTTTCCTTCCCCTCTTAGATTTTGATTGGGCCTCACAATCTTTTCCATCCCAACCCCTTCCTCTGCACCTGCCCAGAAACTGATTTGACACAGCAAAATGAATTACAACCAATGAATTCGAGTTTTTTCCCCATGCCGTCCCGCACCTCACGCAAAAGGTTCGGCCTAGACTCTAAACTACTAACACCTCAACCAAGCATGACCTGCCCGTGACTTCGTACCTTATCTTGGTGGCACACTCCCTACAAAATTAGTCAAGTGAACGTAACATAACCACAATAGTGTTTCACAAACTTGCCACAACAGGAACACCCACAATGGGGGATGACAGCACTGTTTCCAACCTGCCACCACTGTTCTGACTCTTCTTGAGTCAGAACCAGGCCTGTCGATTGACGGGCATATGCCCTTAATGCCCTGAAATTCCGGGCTGCTTTTGCTCCAGCTCGACTGCATAAAGTGTTAGGATCGCCCTGCACCCGTGCCACTAAGTGCCTCGTTCGACCCTTCCCCGGATGCGTTAAGTGCCCAAACCAGGCCTTCCCCTGTCTCAAAGTTTTGGTTTCCGATTGTAGGACCCCCCCCCCCCCCCCAAATTATGCCTGACCCCCCCCCCACTCTTTCTCAGGTTGCACGAGAGGAGTGGATTTTGACCTTAGCGTTTTCTAGCCAATCCTGTGTTTATAAAGTGTCTAAGTCAGCTTGGAGCACCCGAATTTTCCCTTAGCGTCTAAGTGCCCGCCCCCTCTTTCTCCTTTGGTTGCACGAGAGGAGTGGATTTTTCCCTTAGCGTTTTCCTTCAATCCTGTGTTTATAAAGTGTCTAAGTCAGCTTGGAGCACCCGAATTTTCCCTTAGCGTCTAAGTGCAAACTCTTCACAAGCCCGGATTTTAAGTTTTCACTTTGGGGTGCGCCCGTGACCGTTAAAACCAGGGTACACATTCAACGCGACTCCAGGCTAAATTTTGGGCGGCATGTTTGCGGGAACTGCTGATTGGTTGACGAGTAGCGAATAAATAGTTGAGAATGGGCGAGCATGGGGCTTTTCGTCCGTGAGAGATGAGGCTTGGCAGGGGAGAAATTGATAACACTTGGATCTAGAAATTGGGGATCAAGGGGAGGGCAACTGGGTTGGCGGAAAGGGGAAAGGGGGTGAGACGATATTGTGGGGGAAGGGGAAACAATTTCGGTGGGAGCGGAATAGGTATGGGGAGGGGGGAAACGAATTGGCGGAAGCACATTCGATGACTTCGGTTTACATTTGCCAAATCTCGAGGGTTCAAATGTTCACCTGCTGAAGCGAACACTCCCCCCAGATATTCCTAAATCACTGAGTAACCCCGAGGTCAAAGGTTAACCTTTGACAGAAATCCAATTGAATGTGCACCCTGGTTTTAAGGGCGCCCAAACGCTCAGCTACACCCAAAACAGGGCCAGATGGGGAGGAGCTGGGGAGCGCAAGTATGGGCCCCAGGAACTTCGACAGGCCTGGTCAGAACCAAATTTTGGCGCTTCAGCCACGATGGGGGATGTGCGCACTGCTGCCTTCCCTTCCTGGCACCACTGTTCCTAGTCTTCTCTGTCAACTGGTCAACTTTCCATCCCTGCCAACCTTTCACTGTTCTGACCAGATTTTGGCGCATTCTCATCAACTTGTCATTCCTGCCATTCCAACAACGCGATTCGATACCATTGACTCCATCCAGCCCACGTTGTCTCTCGCAACTTGATAATCAGTAGTGTTGTGAGTTCATTCTCAGAAGACCTGAAGACAGCGCCACTTCACCGCTCAACAGGACAATCCTCCCGAGGCGTTTCCATCGTGCCTTTCAGGCTACACAAGAGCGCGCGCGCATGAAGACTATCGAGGCGTTTTCGACTTGTGCATTTCAGTTACTCAAGGACAAGCTCGGGGAGTTTCTGCCGAGGTGTATCCTTGTGCCTTTCAGACACGCAAGAACTCGCGCGCGAGAAGACCATGGAGGCAGTTTCAAGTTGTGCTTTTCAGGCGTACAAGGTCAAGCTCGGGGAGTTTCTGCCGAGGTGTTTCCTTGTGCCTTTCAGACACGCAAGAACTCGCGCGCGAGAAGACCAACGAGGCAGTTTCAAGTTGTGCTTTTCAGGCGTACAAGGTCAAGCTCGGGGAATTTCTGCTGAGGTGTTTCCTTGTGCCTTTCAGACACGCAAGAACGAGCGCTCGTGAAGACCAACGAGGCAGTTTCATCTTGTGCGTTTCAGGTACACAAGCAGCCGCGAGAATTCGATCACTTTCCTATCTCCTCTCTTACTTCTCCTCCCCTAGCAGACCACGGAAGGAGGAGCACCACGGTCAAAGGTAATAACGGTGAGCTCCCTTCCTTTTCTGCTTTTAGTTTTTGTTGTTATTTCTGTCTTTGTTGTTGTTCTTTATTTTCTTTCCTTTTTTTACTAACTTACCCTTTGGTTTCTTCCTCTGCGCTGCAGGTTTAGCATGGAGCCGCGGCGTATCACCCTCCTTTCTCCTCTGCCTTTTCTCCACCCCCCTTAGATCACGGGAGGAGGACGGTCAGATCTACTCCGACTATAAGGTAGTAACGGTGAGCTCCCTTTCTCCTTTGCTTTCAGTTTTTTTTGTTGTTTCTGTCTTTGTTGTTGTTCTTTTCCTTTTCCTTTTTTTACTAACCTACCCTTTGGTTTCTTCCTTTGCGCTGCAGGTTTAGCATGGAGCCGCGGCGTATCACCCTCCTTTCTCCTCTGTTTTTTCTCCACCCCCCTTAGATCACGGGAGGAGGACGGTCAGATCTACTCCGACTATAAGGTAGTAACGGTGAGCTCCCTTTCTCGTTTGCTTTCAGTTTTTGTTGTTGTTTCTGTCTTTGTTGTTCTTTTTCCTTTCTTTTTTTTACTAACTTTCCCTTTGGTTTCTTCCTTTGCGCTGCAGGTTTAGCATGGAGCCGCGGCGTATCACCCTCCCTTTCTCCTCTGTGTATTTTCTCCTCCCCCCTTAGATCACGAGAGGAGGACGGTCAGATCTACTCCGATTATAAGGTAGCTTCCTTTCTCCTTTGCTTTCAGTTTTTGTTGTTGTTTCTGTCTTTCTTGTTGTTCTTTTTCTTTTCTTTGTTTTACTAACTTACCCTTTGGTTTTCTTCCTCTGCACTGCAGGTTTAGCATGGAGCCGCGGCGTATCACCCTCCCTTTCTCCTCTGATTTTTTTATCTCCCCCCTTAGATCACGGGAGGATGAACGCAGCCAGCGGACAAGGCGCCTTCTTCGACAAGGAGGTGTAAGCACTCATCGTACTTATGTTTCTGTTTTTTGTTTCTGCACTTGTTTCTGCTTGTTTCATTTGTTTTGTCTTGTTTTGCTTTGTTTTGTTCTGCTCTTGCGATCGTATCACCTTCTCTTCTCTCTTTTTTCCAGCCCCAGGCCACGCCGAAGACCAGCAGCTGCGTAACCGACAGACGGAACGTTAGGCGAGTTAGATCCGGCGACGCACGAACGTTAGATCCCGCGACCTGGCGACGTACGAAGTGGCAGCCGGACGTTAGATCCCGCGACCTGGCGACGTGCGAAGTGGCAGCCGGACGTTAGATCCCGCGACCTGGCGACGTGCGAAGTGGCAGCTGGACGTTAGATCCCGCGACCTGGCGACGTGCGAAGTGGCAGCCGGACGTTAGATCCCGCGACCTGGCGACGTGCGAACTGGCAGCCGGACGTTAGATCCCGCGACCTGACGACGTGCGAACTGGCGGCCGGACGTTAGATCCCGCGACCTGGCGACGTGCGAACTGGCAGCCGGACGTTAGATCCCGCGACCTGACGACGTTGAACGTATGGACCCTCCACCTGCACCCACCTTCTTCGGCTGCTCCTGAAGCAACAACATGCGGGAGGCTCTTCTGGCATCAGACAACTTGAAGTTTGAGGTGTTCCTGCCGGATGGCAGTTAAAAACTAACTTTCTGCCCTCTTTTTCCAACAGGGTCCCGGACGAATGACCCCCACCTCAACGCGGTGTCCGGGTGTAACGCTAGAGGCTTGCCTGGTTGGGTCAAGAAGACAATGACAACAAGTGAAGCTTAAAACCCGCGTCTCAGATTTTCTAACATATTAGACCTGGTTGGGTGTTGGCGCCTGGGATTGGTGCACGAGCAGCGAAGTTTTGCACGAGAGGATGGGTGACTTCGGGCGAAACCAGAACACTGTACCCTCAACACCAAACCTACCGCCCTAACCTGTTGTCACACCCAAACCAGTGAAAACAGGTTCGTGGGGTTTGACACTCCCTGCGACAAACACAGACGACGAAAACACAACACACATTTTCAACCAGCTGTCATTCTCCTCCAGCACACAAGCCCCTTCCCGTTTTACCGAAACACACCGGCATAGTTGCACCTTCCTTCCTGAAAAGCTCCTCACACATCTAGCTACGACGGATAATCTGCACGTCGCGCGTGGAATGGCGGAATCCACCGCTGCCGGGGCGGAGCGAGGCGCCGATGAATGTGTGCGTGAGTAAAACAATGCCCGCGAGTCGCACATCCTATCACACACGCCTCGGCCACTGCTCCCCGCACATTGCCCCTCACAGGATCGCACCCCCATTACCGTCGCCCTCCCTTCCCGTCGCCCTCCCTTCCCGTCGCCCTCCCTTCCCGTCGCCCTCCCTTCCCGTCGCCCTCCCTTCCCGTCGCCCACCACTCCCGTCGCCCGCGCTTCTTCCTGTCGCCGTCCGTTCTGCTCGTCGCCCTCCCTTCGTCCCCCGTCAATTCTCTCCCCGTCGCCCTCGCTTACCCCGTCGCCCTCGCTTTCCCCGTCGCCCTGCCATCCACTGCTCGTCGCCTTCGCCTTCCCTCCCGCCTGCTGAGCCATCTGCTTCCCCCCATCCGGTTTTCTTCTTCCCCCCCTCCGGTTTTCTGCTTTCCCCCATCCCCTTCCCTGCTTCCCCCCCTCCCCTTCCCTGCTTCCCCCCATCCCCACCCCTGCTTCCCCCCATCAGATTCCCGCCTCGCCCCCATCCCCCTCCCTGCGACCCCTCATCCCCCTTCCCGCCTTCCCCCCATCCCCCTCCCTGCGTCCCCCCATCCTCTTCATTCTTTCCCCTTCTCCCAAGCCCTCCTTCCCCCCATCCGATTTTCCCCTCCCCCCCCCCTCCCCTTCCCTGCTTCCCTGTCTCCTCGACCGCCACTCCACTTTGCTCATCCCCGACATTTCACGGCCTTATGTCCCCCTCCCGCCACAGTCCATTCAGGCCAATTCACTCCCCCCACTTCCTTCTATCTGCATCCCTCCCCATCCCCCTCCCCACCACCAGGCGCGCGCCCTGCTAGCATGGCATCGATCGCAGCGCTTCTGTGGCACCTCTGTGGCGTGCACATCGCCCTGTGACGCAGGCTACTACACCTCACATCACCGTTGGCTACCCTTTCCTTCTCGCCCTTCTTCTTTCCCATCTCCACTCCCTTCCCGTCCATCACCCCTCCCCTTACGCCTCCCCATCTCCTCATCCCGCCTCTCCATCTCCTCATCCCGCCTCCCCATCTCCTCATCCCGCCTCCCCATCTCCTCATCCCCCCTTCCCTTCTCATCATCCCCCCTCCCCATCTCATCATCCCCCCTTCCCTTCTCATCATCCCCCCTCCCCATCTCATCATCCCCCCTTCCCTTCTCGTCATCCCCCCTTCCCTTCTCATCATCCCCCCTTCCCTTCTCATCATCCCCCCTTCCCTTCTCATCATCCCCCCTTCCCTTCTCATCATCCCCCCTTCCCTTCTCATCATCCCCCCTTCCTTCTCATCATCCCCCCTTCCCTTCTTAGGGTCCCGGGTCCACATGACAGCTGCCTCCCTCCTCATCTCGCCCACCTCATTTCCTCTCTTCCTCGGTGTGCATTGTCATTCTCGGTCATACCTCCTCAACTCATCTTCCCGTCATGCCTCCCATCACCTTTCACCCCCATCCGTCCCCTTTTGACCTCTTTTCCCCTCGTTTCCAATCCCCATCTCATCTCCCCTTTATGCCTCCCATCTTGCATCCTTCCAGGAACCTTCCCCCCCTTCCATTTCTTCCCTCCCCATCCTTCCCTCCCCTTACTCCCCTCCCCTTCCTCCCCATCCCTGCCCTTCCCTCCATGCCCTTCCCTTCAGCCCCGTTTTTCATACAGGTCAGCACGTGTGCCAATTCACTCTGCTCCAGCTACAAACAGGACCAAGCATGGCCCAAGCAAACTTGGCGGCGTGAAGGGAATGTGTCTCGGCATGCTGATAAGAGTAGAGGATGGTGCTGTTTTGTATAGCTGGCGATGCATTTATATGTGTACGAGCAACTCTGAAAGCTCCTATTTTCAACCTTTTCCAATATCAAGTCTACTAATTGGATGCATGTGAACATAATGGAATAGAAATGTGGTAACACTCTACTGATGTCAAGAAACCGCGAGGGCACACACAAGCCTAGACTGGACGAAACTGCAAGTCCTTCAAGTCCCATTTCGTTCCGTCGCGACCATCCCGTCCGTCTCTCCCGTCCCGTCACGTCCTGTCCCGTCGAGTCCCCCCCCGTTCCATCGGGTCCCGTCCTGCCCGGTCCAGTCCCGTCGCGTCCTGTCCAGTCCCGTCACGTCTCTTCCCGCATCGTCGCGTCCCTTCCCCTTCCGTCGCATCCCTTCCAGTCCCGTCGCGTCCCTTTCCGTATCGTTCATTCCGTCGTTTTTCGTCCCTTGTCGCGCGTGCGGATATGCTATTGCTATGCAATCCCTTACATTCTATTTGTACCGGTTCTTCCTCCTGGTTTTCGCGTAAGGCAATAGCCTTACGATCGACCGATACGATGAGCCGTCCGAACACTGCAGAACTGCGTGAAATTTTGTACAAGATAGTACTGAACAGCCATGAACAAACCCTAGGCTAAACTAAGTTGTTGGAAATTGACTGGGGCTGGAATGAAAAGTGGTTGCTCAACTGTCTCATATTATTCCTGCTGTGGTATTACGTTTGGTCCCTGTGTGCTCTGCCTTCGTCGCACTTGGTGGTGTGTTTCGCGCGAATGCAGTTCGGTAGTCGTGCACCTGCCTTGCCCAGCCTGTTGGGGCTGCAGCCAATCGCAAGTGCTCCCAACCAAACCCAACAAAGTTGCGACAGCTTGAGTGGTTACCCGGTTTCAAGCGTATTACACTTGGTTGGGAGTTGTGAAATATGAGACGCGGGCTTTAAGAAGACAATGACCAGAAGTCAAGCTCAAGCTTAGGAGTTATAAATGTTTTGTAGATGACTTGTCTTGTATACTTGCTTATGAGTTTCAAATACTTGTATACGTTATATTTATGACTGTCAGTTTCGAACGCCCGTTTCAACACTTGAGTTTTTATTCAATCCAGCAACTGTACTAGACTATAACACAAGGAATTGTGCGACCATGGCCAGGATGAAATTGTATATCTCAGCTTGAGTTACGCAGTCTTCATCTTGCTCTCAGTCGTGCTCCTCTGGAGTTACGGCACAAGGACGCGAAGGTGATGGGTGAATTTGTGATGTCGAACAGAAGGGCTTGAGTTAGAGCAGGTCAGACTTGATTCGCTTTCGGTTCAGAGTATGCGGTGGAAAACGATGCTGTGCATTCTCGGGCGGTTTACTTTCTTCACCACTTTGAACCGCGTTTCACCAGTCTGAACAATGATACTGAACTGAAAGGAACTAGGTCTGACACGCCCTTGGCTTTGGTTTTGGATGTTTCTCTGCATACTGCGACGAATGCCAGCCAATCAAGACCATGCAGTACTGATTCCCCGCCGAGCAATCTGTCAGTACGGTTCTCTGTCTCTTCGGCACGGTATTTTGGGGTTCGGATGTTTTGGTGCGTAGATGTCCCTTGGCTTGTTCGTCATGATTTGCACGTGTCAGAACTAGCAGTAGAAAGTAAGAATGAAGAAAGGAGGATGTGCACTAGCAGCAGTTGGCATACATATAGGAAACCCTAATTGGGTTGTACTCGCTATAGAGTACCCCACTGCAGGCTAGACAATTATAACATTCTGACAGCACGCTGCACCTATTGGGTTATGGATCCCCGATGAATTTCGCCTTCTCCTCGCCATGGTGTGCACTGTAACCTGGTACTGGTGTTTTGTCTAGCGAAATGTCCAGCCATTCATGCATCGCAAATATTTATGTGGCCCAACCTGCTCCCGAACCAACTGCTACACAGATCAATTCCCAACCGTTGACAATGGCGCTGTTCTTTTGGCCAAAAATGGCCTTCGCGGATTCTTCCATCCGCACCAGTGGTGCGTCGGTTCAGGTTGAGCACTGTCCGAAGCTGGGCGCATCAAGAAAACCGAGAAACATGCAGAACAGCACTTTTGTGACACTGTACTAGAACCGCCCGTTTGTTCCACGCCAATTCCTCGCCAGGCAATTGGTCCGCACCGCTGGTTTGACCTCTTGAGGTGAAATCACCTCCGCACCACTGATAACGGGGCTGGAACAAAAAGCCAGAAAATTTTCTCAGGGCAGCTTGAACGCCCAACCACCGACCGAAATCAAATTTACTAATCCACCAACGGTGCGGCGATGAGAACTCCAACAATGTGGTGTGGTACTCCGTCAATTCCTCTCTTGTGGCGAATCTTTTATGTTCTTCGCCGATCTTGACCTTTCAGTTAGGGTATTGGCTCCAGCATTGTCAGTGAATGTGTGAAATCGAACAGAAGCCAAAAGCGCCTTGCGTTGCTGGTGAGAGCGCAGTGGTGGATCGGTGTGCACAACATCTATGCAGATTATCTATGCCTACAGAATAATAGAGATTAATGCTACAACACAGCAACAAAATTGACTCAGTACTATTACATACACCGGAACAGGGAGCAGCAATCGCACAGAGCACATTACAGCATCACACAATGAAGAATCCCTACAAATACAGACATTCAATACCACCAAGATTTTACCATCAGCGCCAAGTGGCGACTTCAAAGTCGAATGGTGATGGTAATGCTCCTCTTGCCATCATTCTGCGACCCGGGATACTTGGGCGCAACATTCCTGCGCGTACCAGAATCCGACCCCGGTGCTCCCGCTGAGGGGGTCTGTGTGCGTGGAGGGCTCTTAGCAGGAGGCTTGGGTCCCTGCTTGGTAGGCGGCTTGGGAGTGGTCCTGGGTGGGGATTTCGGAGGGGACTTGGCAGGGGGCTTGGGAGTCGTCTTGGGAGGGGACTTGGCCGGTGGCTTAGGGGTTGTTTTAGGCGGGGATTTCTTAGGCGGAGATTGCTTGGGCGGGGATGGCTTGGGCGGGGAAGGAGTCTTTCCAGAACCCCCAGGGGAGCCGGATCCACCTGGTTTGCCTCCCGTGCCTCCCTTGTTGCCAGTGCCACCGGTGCCGCCGGTGCCGCCAGTGCCGCCAGTGCCGCCAGTGCCACCGGGTTTGTTGCCGCCACTGCCGGTAGCACCACCTGGCTTACCAGCAGTGCTGCCGCCGTTGCCAGTGCCAGTGCCGCCGGTTGCGCCCCCTGGTTTGCCGGCACCCCCCCCGCCAGTGCCAGAGCCAAAAGTGCCGCCACCGGTGCCGTCCGGTGTGTTGAGAGGAACGCAGGATGCCTCATCAGAACCATCTGATTCACAGCCGGAGGAGGACAGAGAGAAAGAGAGAACAAGTCAGGAGAAAGAACGGGAGTCAGCGCATGGTAGGGGAGGGAGGCAGCACTTACCTGGAGAGCACCGGAGAGCAAAAAACTTGTAACAAAGGACACGAAGAATAAGTTGAACAAAAACAGAAGAGGAGATTATTCATTGTAAAAGACAGACACTGGAGTACGCTCATTGTGTGTGTGTCGTTACTTCTCACCTTTGCAGTCGTTGACTTTGTTGCACCAGTTGAGCTTCGACACGCACTGCAGCTGGTCCTTGCACTTGCGAAACCCCTTGGTGCAGTTCCACGCATCACACCCCACCTCGTCGCTCCCATCCTTACACTCCTTCACCCCATTGCACCGCAACACATCATCCACACACTGCAGGTTATCACTACACTTAGACGACCCCTTCGGGCAAGTATAACCCCGGCAGAAGGCCGGATCTTCATCCACAGCCACACTCCCGGCAGCTTTTCCCGGGCAGTCGGGGACGGCGTTACACAGCGCCCCTCCCGGCTTGCACGTGCTCAGCCCCGGGCAGCGGAGGCTGTTTCTCGGGCAGGTGAAATTCGCGCAGAAGCCGGGGTTTTCGTCGAGCGCGTCCGGGCAGTCGGTTTTTCCGTCGCAGTACTGCCCGGGAAGGATGCAGACGCTGGGGGAGTCTGGGCAGAGGACGTGAGTAGCGTTGAGTGCGCCACAGTCCATGTCGAAGCTGCATATCCAGGGCCACTCGTCGCTGCCGTCTGCGCAGTTCTTCACCCCGTCGCAGTAGTCGCCCCGGCTGAAGCATCCGTTCTTGCTGGGACACTGCGAGCGAGGGGAGAGAAAAGTGGGAGAGCAAGGCGAGCATGGGTGGCTGGTCATTCGTCGCTGCCGTCCGCGCAGTTCTTCACCCCGTGACAGTAGTCGCCCCGGCTGAAACACCCCCGCTTGCTGGGACAATGCAATGCGAAAGAGGCGGGGGAGGAGAGGGGATTAGAGAGGAGAAGGGAGGAGAGGAGAGAGGGGTAAAAAAAGGAGAGTAGAGGGGAAAGCGAGGAGAAAGCGAGGAGAAAGGAGGGTGGGGAGAGTTGAGGGGAGAGAAGGCGGAAGTGGGTGAGAAAAGGAACAAAGGGAGGGGAGGAGAGAGCACGAAGAGAGGAAGGGAAGATGAGGAAAGCGGAGGTGGGGTAAGGGTTTCGGGAACAGGCCAGGCGAAGGTGAGTTGAGGCAGGAATTGGGCAAGGGAGCAGCGGAAGCAAGCACAGACGCGTGGGGCAGGCGGGAGGTAACGGCGTGGGGCGAGCGGCGGGAGTGGGGCGGGCGGAAGGGGCATAGGGAGCAGCGGAAGCAAGCACAGGTAGGGAGGGCAGGCGGCGAGACGAGCGAGCAGCAGCAAAAGGCAAGACGCGTAGGGGGGGAGGTAAGGGCGTGGGGCGGGAGGTAAGGGCGTCGGAAGGGTGGTAAGGGCGGAGTGCGGGCGTGGGCCGGGCAGCGGGAGTGGGGCGGGCGGAAGGGGCATAGGGCGGGCGGAAGGGGCACAGGGCGGGCGGAAGGGGCACAGGGCGGGCGGACAGGGCACAGGGCGGGCGGAAGGGGAAGCTCACCTGGTTTGCGCCGGGGCAGGGGTCAACGCTGCTGCCAGGAACCCCCTGAATGACGGGGAAGGCGGGCGGAGGGGAAAGCGGAGGAACAGCAGAAAAGGGGACTTTTGATGCGCGGCAGGCAAAAGCGGGATGGGGAGCGACGGGGGAGAAGCGGAACTCTGAAGGCGCCTCAAAAGGTAGGGGTCCGCGCTGCCGCCAGGAACCCCCTGCTTCACGGGGAGAGGCGGGCGGGGGGGGCATAGGGAAAGGGCGCGGGAAAGGAGGAGGGCAGGGGCGCATGGCGGGAGGGGGCGGGGAATGGGGGAATGGGCGAGAGGGGGGGAGGGGGAGCGGGGTACAGGGGCGGACAAGGGGGAAAAAAAAGGGTGAGCACCGCGCTGGAGAGCTGATTGACTTGAACGGGCACGCCTTGCGAATGCCTCTGCTGGTTACTGCTCATTGAGTAACCTTTGAGCACACCTCTGCCCCTACTTCTCTCATTGAGTACCCTTGCTCCTCGTCGAACGAAACCCGTTCTCCTTAGTGAACACTACCAGTGCCTGTCGACGCCAGTCCCGAACCACTCAACCTCCGTCTCGCCACGTGACCGCTAGCCGTGCGCCGACAAGTCTGTGCCGCCCACTGTAAGCCGCCCACTGTGTGTCGCCCACACTGTGCCGCCCACAGTGTGTCACCCACTGTGTCCCGCCCTGTGCCGGCGATGCCATCCGTCTTTTCAGCTAGAACTAACGCCACCTTCACCACGCTGTAACCGCTGCTGCTGCAGCTGGTGCGGCGCTGCTAAGGTGCAAGCTAGTCTAGCAGTCGCGGTGTTAGCATGCTTGCCCGCGAGCGACCACCATGATATTGTGGAAAGGATATGCGCGATGGTTACTCGCAATGGTTACTCGCGATGGTTACTCACGATGGTTACTCGGCGATGTTTACGCGCGATGGCTACTCGCGATACGCGCGAAAGTTACACCAGGAGATGGTTACCTGCGAGCTGCTCGCCGCGACGAGGAGCGCCAGAAGCAGCAGGCGAAGGCACACGTGGCGCATCGCAACCGCCATGGCTGGGAACGGCGATGCTTGACGCCGCCAAGTGCGGCGCGTTGTGCGCTGCTGCCCCTAACCCTTGGATGGAGTTGAAGAAATTAACTAGGACGGACGACGGAAGCGAACTCTGAAGGTTGTTTATATTGTTCGAGTGTCGCGGTTTGGACGCGATACGACGGGTGACACGGACTCGAACGTTGCAGCTGCGTAATGAACTGGGAGATATGATGAAGATAGCGTTGATGTTGCTACCAGTTACAACTGCTGCTTGTGCTAGTGCGCGGCAGTTCCCAAAACCAGCTTTCCATGCACGGAAGAGAGAGGGGGTGAGGCGAACAAGGGCCTGTCACAGCGACGCAGGCATCAGATCTCGTCTCGAAGTTGCTGTGCGAATCAGGGAGTACAGTACAGTACGCCCTGGCGGTGGCAGGTGACTTTGCAGGGTGAGATGAGTTGGGTGGCTGGCGGGAAGGTAAGGTGGAAGCCCAGCGGGGAATGGGGAATTCGCGGGGAGGGGAAATTGCGGGAAGCTGAGGCTAGAGATGGCTGGGGATATGGCCTATTCAGGGGGTGAGGTGCCGACAGTGAGGGGATTTGGTCAGGTGGAAATGACGTGTGATGCGGAGGTGCCTGCCGGGCTTTTTGAAACCAACGAGTCGCAGGGTCTTGTGCGCGATGAGCGGTAATTGCTGAAGTGCGCAGGTTCATTTGTCACGAGCGCCTCAGGTTGACATCGAAGCACAGAACATTTCATTCAATAGTAGATAGTACAAGCAAGTATTACACAGACACAAATTACAAAACTTGGTGAAATACTGTTATACTCTCAAGTATGACCAATGTTGCTCACAAGAAACTACTCATATCTTAAAACGCTTTCCCGGCTTGTATCCCACCGTTGCTATTTCTTGCGTTTAGGTGGGGTTTTAGGAGTCTTCTTGGGTGGGGCCTTGGGAGGAGTCTTTTTGGGTGGAGCCTTGGGAGGAGCCTTCGGGGGAGCCTTGGGTGGGGTCTTGGGGGGCGCCGTGGGTGGGCCCTTGGGGGGTGCCGTGGGTGGGCCCTTGGGGGGTGCCGTGGGTGGGCCCTTGGGAGGGGCGGGGGGTGTAGCCTTGGGGGGCGCGGGTGGAATGTCACATCTGTCCTCATCGCTCCCATCTGCATTGGTGACACAAAGCACACCAGACAAGCAGAAATGGATTAAAGACGAGAGTCTCGCGCAATGCTGTGTCACCATAGCATCACCTGAACCAGTTCAGAGGAGAAAACAACAAGCATGTCTTGATGGGAGCACGGTAATTAATCACCTTTGCAGTCAGGCACTTTGTTGCACCAGTTGATTTTTAAAGCGCATTGTAGCTGGTTCCGACACTTGCGGTAGCCCTTGGTGCAGTTCCAGTTCTCACACCCCACCTCGTCACTGCCATCTGTGAGAATTTGGGGACAAGCAGAGGAGAAGGGGGTCACAGGCGGATCAATGAATGAGAGAGGCCGGATGCAAGCAGGAATGACAGAGAAACAGAGAGTAGGTTAGTCAGAAAGTAGGGAGATCCCAATCAGATAGCCCGAGCCCGAATGTGTTAGGTAGGAAATGAACAGCCAGGATTTCAGAGTGCATAGAGACTCGCCTTTGCAGTTCGCAACGCCATTGCAGTGCAGCAGACCGTCCACGCACTGCAGGCTGTTTTGAGTATACACTTAACGCGGCATAGAGGCCCACCTTTGCAGTCGGCAATGCCGTTGCAGCGAAGCACGTCATCCTCGCACTGCACGCTGTTTTGGGGTTAAGGGTAGAGAATGCACCTGAAGCGCATGGAGGCTCACCTTTGCAGTCAGCAACGCCGTTGCAGCGAAGCACGTCATCCACGCACTGCAACTTGTCGCTGCACTTGGAGAAACCCTTGGGACAAACGTACGGCTTGCAGAACGCCGGGTCCTCGTCCACTGGCTTGCCGCCAGCTGTCTTCGCGGGGCAGTCGGGCACCGCGTTGCAGAGGGTTCCGTTTGGCTTGCACATGTTGAGCCCCGGGCAGCGGATGTTGTTCCTCGGGCAGGTGAAATTCGCGCAGAACTTGGGGTCTTCGTCCAGTGAGTCCGGGCAGTTGGTTTTTCCGTCGCAGAATTGTCCGGGCAGGAGGCAAACGCTGGGGGAATCTGGACAGAGCACCTGAGGTACCAACACAAACGCAAGGCACGAATTTGACCCAAATTAAAGAACTTGTCTCTGACCCTCGTTCCACCTAGTGTTTACAAGCTTGCCCTTTTCCTCCTAACACCCAATTCCCTCATCCTTGTTGCGAATCTGTATCCCGTGACCTCACAACGCAAGCATTCAACCCGACACCCTCACTCCACCCAGCACTCACGTGAGTAGCGTTGAGGGCGCCACAGTCCATGTCGAAATTACAGAGCCAGGGTCACTCGTCACTGCCGTCCGCGCAGTTCTTCACGCCGTCGCAGTAGTCGCCCTTGGCGAAACATCCGTGATCGCTGGGGCACTGCGCGAAAGCAGGCGAAGGGGAGGAGAGGGGAAAGGCGAGAGCGAAATGAGGGTGCAAGGGGAGCATGGTTTGTTGGTCAGGCTTTGAGCAGTTCTTCACGCCGTCGCAGTAGTCGCCCTTTGTGAAGCATCTGTGATCGCAGGGGCACTGCGCGAAAGCAGGCGAACGAGCAAGGAGAACGTCGATATGTCATTCTTGAGAATTCGAAGAAACCACACAGAAAACAAGCAAACGAGCAAGTGAGAACGAGCGTAGCGGGATTGATGTTGACGGCGATGGTGATGGTGATGGCGATGGCGATGGCGATGGCGATGGCGATGGTGATGGCGATGGTGCTGGTGATGGTGATGGTGACGGTGATGGTGATGGTGATGGTGATGCCGGGTTTTCGCTCACCTTGTTGGAACCGGGGCAAGGGTCGCCGGCGATCGGAACCACCGGCACGGTCTTCTGCAGAAAGAAACGTGCAAGCAAATGGGGGAAACGGGAGAAAATAGGGTTGGACAAGAAGAGAGAAGAGGGGATTAGCTGGCTCGACGAGACAGCGACGCGAGGATAAAACTCGAGCCGGATGAAAACAAAGAGAGTCGCCTTCTTCATTTTTCAAAAACCTGAAATGCTAACAGAGCATGGTTGGAAACCGACAACCTCTAGTATCTAATCTGTGGCAGCGAGAACAGTAAAAGCCCCAACCACTTGGCTGGTGATTTTTTTTTTCATCTTTTTACCTTTTTCAGAATTTTTACCGGAATGAAATGCATGGTCCCCGTGACGGGCTAACGTAGCAGCCTGAACATGCACGCCCATGCACCCCTGCACTGAGCAAACTGGAGCGATTGACTTCCCAAATCTGATCCTTATCACACTTCGCCCGCTCAGTTGTCGCCACGGCAAAACACTCGCTGAAGCCGTCTGCAATTTCGCGCCTCGGGAACCGTGTGCGACAGGGCGTCTGCTTTCGCGTCTAAAGCGCGCGACTGTCTCCGTACCTGCGAGCTTGTTGTTGCGAAGAGTGTTGCGAAAAGTAACGCCCCTGCGACAAGCTTTAGCGACATGGGCGTTGAGAGCCCAGACGCGCGCGCCATGGCTCTGGCGACGAGGATATTTTCTTATAGTCCGTCGCTTACGCGACACCACATGCAGAAGCGATGCAACGCTGGAACGAGTCGAACGAAAAACGCACCGCGCCTGCTGCAAGGTAATCAAACTCGTCTGAATCGGACGTTTCAGTCAGATGTTGTTGCTGGAAGAATATATATTCCTGGGTTCGAAGCCTGGACGACTGATGGGTCAGCGCGGCACGAAAGCGACGATGGTGTGATCGCTGGGATTGAACAGTCTGACCTTTTTTTCAGTGCTTGACGAAATCCTTTGGCGAGTGTCGTTGTTGTGACGAGGGGGGCGAAGTGTTTTTCCAGGGAAGGCGTTCTGTTGGGGCAGGTGCGATGAGCGTGACTTGCGCAGTCGGCGCGCTGAATCTCAGGTGCGACTCGTCTCATTCAGGTTGATTCCAGGTGGTACCGAATTCAGCAAAGGCACTGCGATGTTGGCGATAGTGGTTATTAGGAGTAAACGACGCCTTAGCTGCTTCCCGAACGTTCCGCAAGGGTCGCCGCAAATGCTGGTCAGACTCAGAACAAATTGGTGAGAATTGTACAAGATCGCCATAAGAACCAACAATGAACAATATTATAATGTCCTACGGAGCCTTACATCCTTATATTGTGCAGGGGGGCCGACCGCGTCCATGCACCGCATACATCTCAAGCTAAAAACTAACCAGGATGCATGCTCTGCTTAGCTTCGGGGATACAAACACAGCATTATACAGTTCAAGCATCAACATGCCCCCATGACATACCATGACCAGTTTCGAATCCTACAATAACTCAGTCCCCCCACCCCAAGCTGCTCAACCATCAACTGACCCACATGAAGTAAAAATAAACCAATACAAAACAACAATATAACATGCTACAGCCATATAATACCACACACCAGTGCTGTATGTTGCAAAGTCAGCTGCATGAATCAGCCCAGCCATGGGTCACCACTGCCATCCCCGGAACCATCACTTCCACCCGTGCCGTCTCCTGAACCATCACCCGAACCATCACCTGAAGAATCACCTGAAGTATCACCTGAACTGTCGGTGCTGCCATCAGACCCATCGTTAATCAACTGATCCGTCAAGTCCTTCCCATTAAGAATGTTCGACTCTTTCACGACCCGCATGTACCTCTTTCTCCGCAGCGACACGTCACCCTCCCCGCCTTCCAGGAGAGTCATCGATGCCAAGTACGCCTGATACGCCTCGTCTCGATCCGACTTGGTTTGGTCGAGCCACTTCTTGGTTCGGGCAACATTCTTCTGCCGAAGCTGCACCCGCTCCATCTCCCCCGTGGCCAGATACTTCCGAATCTCCTGGTTCAGCCGCGAAATATCATTTGTCAGATTATCGTACCGCTCGCTCATCTTATTAAGCAGCGCCTCTGCATCCAGGGTATCATTATACAGCCCTTCCAGTGTAAACACAGACTTGTCCCAATAGCTCTTTGCCGCCCGCGCACGATTCAGCACCTCAGCCGCTTTAGCAGACAGCTTGACCCTGTTCGCCTGCCGCTGGTTCTGCGCGAAACTCATCGCATCCTGCTTCTTCTGCTTCTGCAGCGCGGCCCGTTCTGCCGCCGAAGTCAGCCTCTCCGCCGCGGCGCCCGACGCCTTCACGCTGCCCGAGTTCTGCGCCTTGCTAATCGCCTTCTTCAGCTTCTCCCGGAGCCTATCCGCGGTGTCTTTCGCGCTCTCATAGTCCTTCTCCTTGCTGTCAGCGTCCGCCTTGGCGTCGGCAGCAGCAGCCTGTTTCGTAGCAACGTCCGCCCGGGCCTTCTTAGCGGCATCTTTCTTTGCCTTGGCGCCAGTACCCACAGCACTGTTAGCCTCTCTCTGAAGCCTGTCCGCTTCGGTCCCAGCAGCGTTGGCGTCTGCCTGAAGCTGCCTTGCCTTGGCGTTAGCGGCATCAGAGGCTGCTTTGGCCTTGTCCTGGGCAATGAGTGCTGCCTGGTACTGAGCGGTGAGTTGTTGCACCGTGGAGCCACCTCCTGAAGACCCACTGCTGCCAGTGTTGCCGGGTTTCCGGTGCTGCTGCTGCTGCCGGTGCTGCCCTTAGTGCCGGTGCTGCTGCTGCTGCCTGTGCTGCCGGTGCTGCCTTTGGTGCCGGTGCTGCTGCTGCTACCGGTGCTGCCAGTGCTGCCGGTGCTAGCCTTGGTGCCAGTGCTGCTGCTGCTCCCTGTGCTGCCGGTGCTGCCAGTGCTAGCCTTGGTGCCGGTGCTGCTGCTGCTACCGGTGCTGCCAGTGCTGCCAGTACTGGCCTTAGTGCCAGTGCTGCTGCTGCTGCCAGTGGTACCAGTGCTGCCAGTACTGGCCTTAGTTCCAGTGCTGCTGCTGCTGCCAGTGCTGCCAGTGGTACCAGTGCTGCCAGTGCTAGCCTTCGTGCCAGTGCTGCTGCTGCTGCCAGTGCTGCCAGTGCTGGTGCTGCTACCGGTGGTGCCAGTACTGGCCTTGGTACCAGTGCTGCTGCTGCTGCCCGTGCTGCCGGTGGTACCAGTGTTACTGGTGCTGCCCGTGCTTCCGGTTGTGCCTGTGCTGCCCGTGCTGCCCGTGCTGGGATCCGGGAAACCGCAGTCGAGCTCATCGCTCCCATCTGGAGGGACGGAAAGGGGACGTAGAGACGTGGGTTAGCGAGAGAAGGCTGGATGAGCGGGAACGGTGTAAGGCAGTGGGAAAATGGGAAGGGACGTGAAGGGGACGTGGGAAACGGCGAAACGACAGGACGACGAGAGGAAGAGAGGTTGATGAACGAGAACGGCGATGGAAGGGGGAAACGAGGACGGGGAGGAGGGGGAGAGGACGGGGGAGAGGACGGGGGAAGGAGGGCGGGAGGAGGGCTGGAGGAGGGGGGGGGGTGGGAGGGTGGGGGAAGGAGGGCGGGTGACGGGTACGACGACGGCAAGAGAAGGACGAGAAGGGAACGCACCTAGGCAGAAAGCGTCAACGAGCACGCACTGCAGCTCGTCGCTGCACTTCTGAAACCCGTCCAGGCACGAGTACGCGGCGCAGAAGAGAGGGCACGAGATAGGCAGGAAAGGGAGGGAACGCACCGAGGCAGTCCTTCTTGCCGTCGCAGAAAGCGTCAACAAGCACGCACTGCAGCTCGTCGCTGCACTTCTGAAACCCGTCCAGGCACGAGTACGCGGCGCAGAAGAGAGGGCACGAGATAGGCAGGAAAGGGAGGGAACGCACCGAGGCAGTCCTTCTTGCCGTCGCAGAAAGCGTCGACCAGCACGCACTGCAGCTCGTCGCTGCACTTCTGGAACCCGTCCAGGCACGAGTACGCGGCGCAGTACTTAGGGTCCTCATCCGGCGCGTACAGCACTCCGCTCGTCGCGTTCTTGATCTTGGGGCAGTTGGCGACGCCGTCGCACATGTAGCCCTTGGTGCACGCGGCCGTAGCGGTGCACTTGACCTGGTCCTCGTTGCAGTTGGAGCTGCGGTAGTCGAGGCAGAAACCCGGGGACTCGTCGATGGCGCCCGGGCACTGCATGATGCCGTCGCACACTTGAGTCGGCTTCACGCAATAGTCCGTTCCCACGCACTCCACCTGCAGGGGAAAGGGGGGAGGACGGGGGGTAGGGGCGGGGGAAGGGAAGCGGGGAAGGGAAGTCGAGTTGGGTGGTCAGGAGAGGAAGCGAGTCGATTGCACTCGACTTGCAGGGGCTTCAGACAGTACTCGGTGCCCACGCGAGGGGGAACGGGGAGGGACGGGGACGGGACGTATAAGGGTCGGGAAGGGTCGGGAAGGGTCGGGGAAGGGTCGGGGAAGGGCCGGGGAAGGGTCAGGGAAGGGGCGGGGAAGGGTCGGGATGTTCGTGTAAGGGACACGAGACGGGAGCAAGCGGCGAATGCGGGACACACGGTGGTGCCGGAGAGGGTGCGGCGAGCTAGGCGGATGCGGCGGATGCGGCGGGTGTGGCGGGTGTGGCGCGCGTGGTGGTCGTGGCACGGTTGAGAGGAGTGCGGCGGGTTGACGTACGGTGGTGTCGGGGTCGGAGCAGTCGAGCGGGTTGCAGTACCACGCGGCCTCGTCGCTCTTGTCCTTGCAGTTGGCCGTCTTGTCGCACAGCTTATCGGGATCCACGCACTGCCCCAGCCCCGGACACTCCGTCTGTTGACAGTAACGCGGGGAACGTGTGACAAAAACGGAGGTGAGTTGACGAAATCAGTGCGGATTGCGGGAGATGGCGGAAGTAGTGCGGGGACATGGAGTCAGTGTGGGGAAGCGATGGAATGCGTTGCGGAAAAGGGGCAGGGCAGGTAGACAAGGGAGCGAGAGATGAGGCCGGGGAAGTGGGGGATGAGGGCGAAAAGCGCGGTGACCGACAAAGCGCGGTGAACGACAAAGCGCGGTAAACGACAAAGCGCGGTGAACGACAAAGCGCGGTGAACGACAAAGCGCGGTGAACGACAAAGCGCGGTGAAGGAAGGGAGTGGTGACAAAGACCGGAACTGGGCATGAAGGGGCGAGTGGTGGGGAAACGGTGGAAGCTGGGAAAGGGGAACGGGAGGGGTGCAAGAGGGGGGATGAAAGAAGGGGGGACGGGTGTTGGGGGAAGTAGAAGGCGAGCGGGTCGGGATAAGGGGGGGAAGCGGAAGGCGAGCGGGGCGGGGAACGTACCAGATCGCCGCAGTCCATTTCGGCCGCAACCTGCGGACAGCGGGGCACGGGGAAAGGGGGGCACGGGGAAAGGGGGGCACGGGGAAAGGGGGGCACGGGGAAAAGGGGGCAGGGGGAAAGGGGGGCACGGGGAAAGAGGGGCCACGCGGAAGGGGAAGAGGCAAGAATCGGGATGTTAGGGATGCTCAGTGATAATCTAGGATTCATACATGTAAGACCGACCTAATTGGGAGGTTGCGCAGCGGTTGCGAGAAGTGGGATACGCGAGGGACGAGAAACGTCAACTATTGTCCAGTCGGCCCGTGCGTACGAGACGGTGGTACAGCGATACGCGCGGTATGGACTGATTGAATGCTAACGGACGGGCAGCAAGGAAGCTGGCCGGGACAATCTGTAAGGCTCTTTTGAGTCGACTCAAAAGTCAACTCGATACGCGCGGTATGGACTGATTGAATGCTAACGGACGGGCAGCAAGGAAGCTGGCCGGGACAATCTGTAAGGCTCTGCGTGCGCGCTGCGCCGTCGGACAGTGCGTTTAGGCTTTACGTGAGGTCTGACTGCTGCCGCGTGCGCTGCTGTAACGAGCAGAGCAGACTGCTGGGCGTGGCGAGAGGCACCATGGTGTCATTGTAACGAGAGGTGACTATTGAGTAGACTACATAGACTGCCGGGCGGGGCAGGTCGTACCATGGTGGTGGTGTGCGAGAGGAGCGAGAGAAGCAGCGCCGCGACACAAAAGACATGCGCGGCATGCCGTTGATGCCAGCTAGCCCTCGCCATCGTGCGGCTCTTGTCGACCAAAACGGACTACGCCCGAGGTGAAATGTACCGATTAAAGAAAAGCAAAAAATGAGTGTTTTACTTATTTAGAACAGTGTAGGATTGGGGTTCCTGCGGGAGGTGCGGGTCTGTCTCTAACTAGAATAATAGAGTCGAAAATAACCCCTGCACGCTAATTCCTTATTAGTAGTCGCTACTTGCGCGCTTCGACGTGCTTGACCTTAGCTCTGGCATCACCCACCAGAATCTGTGATAAGGCACTAGAGGGGGAACTACATAGAGTGTGGAGTGGAGCGAGGACACGGGTTGGCTCGAATTTGGTGAGGCAGGTGGAAAGGATGGGAGGGAGGGAGAGAACAGAACGCGGAAAGGAACAGAACGGGCCAGTTGCGAAAGGGGCACGGGGGGGAATGAGGCAGCGCGGGAGGAAGTGAGGGGGCTGGGCGAGAGGGGAGCGGAAGGGAGAAGAGCGGTGCGGGCAAATGGAACATTCCGCACGACTTTGCTTGCATGTCTCCCCCACGAGGGGAGCGATATGGCCGATTTGGCGGTCTGGCACGGTTGGGAATCGAAACGTATGCTGCTCACCTGTCAAACCTTCTGATGCTGTGCTTCATTTGCGACGCGGGTAAGTGGCTGGCATATCACCTGAGAACCTGCCCGAACTGAGAAAAACGACAACGGGGTCTAGAGAACCAATGAGAGTGCAACACCATGTGCATGTCTTGATTTGAGCTGCACAGTGACGAATCTTCAGGTGCGACGCGTCACCACTTGCCCCGTCTCGATTCCAGGTTAGGGTTCACGAAGCGCATGCCACCAACCAGATGACTGTTACTCACCCAGTGGTGGCATGACAGCGTATATCAAGGATAATGCGAGTTCATGGTACTCGGCAAAAGCATATGTGAAACCTTATGCCTTACGATTAGCATACTGGCAATACATAATGATACCATTTTGGAATGGTGGAGCAAGATAACACCAGACCAAGAAATAACACATCATACATATATTACATATAAATGGAAAAAGGTTACTCTACTTCCAGTTAGAGTCGCTATTATCAGCCCCCAACATCCACCCATGTGTCTATTCCTAGTGTTACCCTTCTCGTAACAACCACTCCCCATCAGTAAAAGCCAACTGCCGCATGCATTGTCCGCTTCACCCGCCCCACTGTCAGCTGATGGAACACTTCTTTTTGTTAATCCAGCACTGGTCGCACTGCTTGTTGTATCTGTAGACCCACCCTCGCTTGTGCCACTTCCTGGATCAGTAAAATCACCATCACCGCCACCCCTGCTTCCATCCTGCTCTCCCCCCCCCTCCCCCCCCTCTTTCCCTCCCTCTTTCCCCTGCAGCGCCACTGTCTTCCACCGAGCAGTCATCACACCAAACCTACACCCATCGGTCACCACCGCACTGGCTGCAGCAAAGTACCGCGAGCGCATGCAGCGGGTGCGACGGCTGACTTGTTCATGTCAAGCGTTACCCAGCACGAGCCCGGGCGCCCCCTGCCTTCAAGTGACGCGTTACAACGCGTCGGCTGTTCAAGTCAAGCGCTACCCAGCAGGAGCCACGGAGCCCGGTGCTTTCAAGCTCCCGGTCTTGTGCGCCTTGCCACTCTCCTTCAGCTGCGCCCGCAGCTTATCTTATGAGGCGCCTCAAAAGTCGTCTCTACACACAATCTTTTTACGCGCCTCAAAAGTCAAACGGAGCCCGGTGCCTTCGAGCCCGGTGCCTTCGAGCCCCCGGTCTTCTTCTGCGCCTTGCCCATCTCCTTCAGCTGCGCTCGCAGCTTACTCGCCGTGCCTTTCGCGCTCTCATACGCCTGCTTCTTGCTGGCAGCGTCCATTTCAGCAGCAGCAGCAGCGGCCTGTTTCGCCGCAGCATCCTCACCAGCCTGCCTAGCAGCCTCTGTTCTCTTCTTAGCTAAAGCCACGGCAGCGTCTGCCTTCCGCTGCAACTTGTCTGCTTGGAGCCCAGCAGCGTTCGCTTCCTTCTCCAGCCGCCCTGCCTTGGCATTCGTGGCATCTCTGGCCTTTTTGGCCTTGCTCTGAGCAGTGATTGCTGCCTGGTACTGCGCAGTCAGCTGCTGCACGCTCGAGCTGCCTCCTGAAGGGCCTGTGCTGCCAAAGTTTCCCGTGCTGCCCGTGGTGCCAGTGGTGCCAGTGCTGCTGCTGCTGCCAGTTGTTCCGGTGCTGCCCGAGCTGCCCGTGTTGGGGTAAGCACAGTCGACCTCATCGGTCCCATCTGGTGGGACGCGAAGGGAATGAGAGGACGTGGATGGGCAAGAGATAAAGGGCGAGAGGTGAAGGGCAAGAGAGGTGAAGGGCGAGAGGTGAAGGGCAAGAGGTGAAGGGCGAGAGATAAATGACGAGAGGTGAAGGGCAAGAGGTGAAGGGCGAGAGAGGTGAAGGGCAAGAGGTGAAGGGCAAGAGGTGAAGGGCAAGAGGTGAAGGGCGAGAGAGGTGAAGGGCAAGAGGTGAAGGGCGAGAGAGGTGAAGGGCAAGAGGTGAAGGGCAAGAGGTGAAGGGCAAGAGGTGAAGGGCAAGAGGTGAAGGGCAAGAGGTGAAGGGCGAGAGAGGTGAAGGGCAAGAGGTGAAGGGCAAGAGGTGAAGGGCAAGAGGTGAAGGGCAAGAGGTGAAGGGCAAGAGGTGAAGGGCAAGAGGTGAAGGGCGAGGGAGACGAAGAGAGAGCAAGAGAGGGGAAGGATGAGGAAGGAGGGAGAAACCGACAGAGGTAGAGGTAGAGGGGGAGAGAGAGAGAGGGCAGAAGCGAGCGGGCGTGTTTGATTGCCGGCTCATACAGCAGTAGGTCAAGAGAGGTCAAAAGAGGTCAAGAGCAGGTCAAGAGGGAAGGTGGTTGGGAGGAGTGCAAGAGGGTGCAGGAGCGGGTGGGGAGGGGGGCGGAGGGCAGGAAAGGCACGCACCGAGGCAGTCCTTTTTGCCGTTGCAGAAAGCCTCGTAGCGCACGCACTGCTTCCCATCGCCGCACTTCTGGAACCCGTCCAAACACGAGTACGCGGCGCAGTACTTGGGGTCCTCATCTGGTACCACCAGCACTCCACTCGCATTCCTGACTTTCGGGCAATTCGGCACGTTGTCGCACATGTAGCCCTTGATGCAGGCAGAGGTGGCTGTGCACTTGAGTTGGTCTATCTGGCAGTTGGAGCTGCGGTAGTCAAGACAGAAGCCGGGGGACTCGTCGATGGCGCCCGGGCACTGCATGATGCCGTCGCACACTTGAGTCGGCTTCACGCAATAGTCCGTTCCCACGCACTCCACCTGAGTGGGAAAGAGGGGGACAGCGGGCGGGATGGTGGAAGGGATGGCGGACGGGACGGGGAAAGGGACGGGTGAAGGGAAGGGGAGCTTTGAGGGTGAGGAAGTCGAGGAGAGGGAACGACTCTTGAGGCGCCTCAAAAGCTTGTGGGTGAGAAGGATGAGGAGGGTGAGGAGGGTGAGGAGGATGAGGAGAGCGAATGACTTTGCTGCACACCTACGGAGGCAAGTCAATGGCCAGACAAACCATGCTAATTGCAAGCCGGAACGAGCGGCGAGTGTGGGCAGAGCAGCGAGTGTGGGCAGAGCAGCGAGTGTGGGCAGAGAAGCGAGTGTGGGCAGAGCAGCGAGTGTGGGCAGAGCAGTCGCGCGTGTCGGGCGGGGAATGTTAGAGCGGTAAGGGAGGGACTGGGGAGGGATGTATTACCGTGGTGTCGCGGTCGGTGCAGTCGAGTGGGTTGCAGTACAACGCGGCCTCGTCGCTCTTGTCCTTGCAGTCGACCGTCCCGTCACACAGCTTGCTGGGGTCCACACACTGCCCGAGACCTGGACACTCCGTCTGGTGTGACAATAACGAACGCAGACAAGGGGGAAAGTGTGACAGAAAAGGGAGGTGAGTGGGTGGGTGGTTGCAAGGCCTCGTCGCTCTTATCCTTGCAGTCGACCGTCCCGTCACACAGCTTGCTGGGGTCCACACACTGCCCGAGACCTGGACACTCCGTCTGTTGAGCGGTTGTGACCATAGCATAGGGGCAAATATGAGAACAAAAGGAGATGAGTTGACTAAAAAATAGACACTATGTCTGTTGAATGGTTGTGGCCATAGCAGGGGGGCAGATATGAGAACAGGTGTGCATGTGGGAACAGAAAGAAGGTCAGTGCGCAACTTAAGATGCAGGTGTGCAAAAGCGCGAGGACACAGGGGGGGGGGGGGGGGGGGGGTTGGAGGGGTGGGAGGGAGGCGAAAGCGAGTGGGAAAAGGGAAATTGCCGAATTAATTTGTAGTTGGAAATCGTGCGACGAGTGTGACGAGTGGGGAGAGGAAAGAGCGCGGAAATTACGGGATCTGCAGTAAAGCGTAAAGACTCAGTTTTGAGAAATTTCAAAAGCCGAGGGTGGGGGGTGATACGATGAAAATGAGGCAGTGCGTGAGACGGACGGAAGAGAGGAAGAGAGAACTGTCAGAATCCCAGCCACTAGACCACTAGGATAAAAGGCTAAATAGCGGGTCTGTAACCCATATCTAGGATCGGTCGGGCATCCCCAGGACGTGCGGAAGGGAGAGGAGGGGGACAGCGGCATGGGGGCTAGTGGGGGAGAAGAGAGGGAGCAGAGTGGGGGCGTACCAGGTCGCCGCAGTTGAGTTGAGCAGCACCTGTGCTGCTGCTGCCAGTGCTGCCAGTGGTGCCAGTGTTGCCGGTGCTGACCGTGTTGCCTGTGCTCTCCGTGCTGCCAGTCCTGCTGCTGCCAGTTGTTCCGGTGCTACCCCAGCTGCCCGTGTCGGGGTAAGCACAGTCGACCTCATCGGCCCCATCTGGTGGGACGCGAAGGGAACGAGATGACATGCGTGGGCGAGAGGTGAAGGGCAGGTGAAGGGCAGGTGAAGGGCAGGTGAAGGGCAGGTGAAGGGCAGGTGAAGGGCAGGTCAAGGGCAGGTGAAGGGCAGGTCAAAGGCAGGTAAAGGGCAGGTCAAGAACGGTCAAGAGTGATCAAGAGCGGTTAAGAGCGGTCAAGATCAGGTCATGAGCAGGTCATGAGCAGGTCAAGAGAGAAGGTGGTAGGGAGTAGGGCAAGAACGCACCGAGGCAGTCCTTCTTGCCGTCGCAGAAAGCCTCGAGGCGCACACACTGCATTCCGTCGCCGCACTTCTGAAACCCGTCCAGGCACTCGTATGCCACGCAATACCTGGAGTCCTCGTCCGGAGCTATCAGCACTCCGCTGGCGTTTTTCACCTTGGGGCAATTCGGCACGCCGTCGCACATGTACCCCTTGATGCACGCGGTGGTGGCGGTGCACTTGACCTGATCCTCGTTGCAGTTTGAGCTGCGGTAGTCGAGACAGAAGCCGGGGGACTCGTCTATCGCGCCCGGGCACTGCATGATGCCGTCGCACATCTGACTGGGCTTCACGCAGTACTCCGTTCCCACGCACTGCACCTGAGGGGGAAAGAGGGGGAGGGACGGGAGGAGGGATGGGGGAAGGGCAAGGGGAAGGAAGCAGAGTTGGGTGATCCGGCTCAGGCACTGCATGATGCCGTCACACATCTGACTGGGCTTCACGCAGTGATCCGTTCCCACGCACTGCACCTGAGGGGGAAAGAGGGGGAGGGGCGAGCGAAGGGAAGGGGAGTTGGCGGGTCAAGAGAGGGACTGATTCAGTCGCACATCTGAGACAGCTTCAAGTTGACTTTCGATTTTTGAGTTGAGTCAAAAGTCAACTACCTGAGACAGCTTCAAGCTGACTCTGGACTTTTGAGTCGACTCAAAAGTCAACCATCTGAGACAGCTTCAAGTTGACTTTGGAAGATGCCGCATAGCATGCTGTAGGTTATGGCGCGGTTGGGGGGGGGGGGGGCGGCGGGCGTGGCGGGTTGACGTATGGTGGTATCCGGGTCGGAGCAGTCGAGTGGGTTGCAGTAGCACGCGGCCTCGTCGCTCTTATCCTTGCTGTTGGATGGAGCACCAAGTAGGTGCCATGCTGTCAACACGTGCCTACACCTTCGAGCAGAAACACCTGTGAAACTATATGCGCAGGTGCGGCGCAGTTGAGAGCGGTGCAGAGCGACGTACGGTGGTATCCGGGTCGGAGCAGTCAAGCGGGTTGCAGTACCACGCGGCCTCGTCGCTCTTGTCCTTGCAGTCGGCCGTCCCGTCGCACAGCTTATCCGGGGCCACACACTGCCCGAGACCAGGACACTCCATCTGTTGACAGTAACGCGGGGAACGTGTGACAAAAAGGGAGGTGAGTTGACGAAATCAGTGCGGATTGCAGTCGGCCGTCCCGTCACAAAGCTTGTCCGGGGCCACACACTGCCTGAGACCAGGACACTCCGTCTGTTGAGCGGTTGTGACCATAGCATAGGGGCAAATATGGGAACAAAAGGAGATGAGTTGAGTAAGAAATAGACATTATGTCCGGGGCCACGCACTGCCCGAGACCGGGACATTCCGTCTGTTGAATGGTTGTGAACATTGCACGAGGGAAGATGTGAGAACAGTAGGTGCAGATGTGAAAACAAGAGTGGGGGTTGATAGGCTGAGAGTGAGGCAGTGCGCGAGACGGAAGCGAGGAGTGGTGGCGATGTGGGAAACGGGGAAGAGGGGAGAAGAGGGGAGCAGCGGGGCGGGGAGCAGAGAGGGAGCAGCGAGGGAGCAGAGAGGGAGCAGAGAGGGAGCAGAGAGGGAGCAGAGAGGGAGCAGGGTGGGGGGCGTACCAGGTCGCCGCAGTTGAGTTGAGCAGCCACCTGCCGGGGGTTAGGGGCACGGGGAGACGAGCACGGGGAGGAGGGCACGAGACAGTAGTTTAGGGCTGGACCTTGCGGCGGCGGCGGGCGGGCGGGCGGGTAAACCCTAGAATTCCGACTTTAACCTGAATCCTTGAAGGATCATGATGACTCCAATCGAGACGAGTGGGGGGGGGGGGGGGGGGGGGAGAGAGTAGAGATGGCGGGTGCAGAGCAGTGAGACACAAGGGACGAGGGGCGAGGGGCGAGGGGCGAGGGACGACGATGGACGATGGGCGATGGCGGTCTAGGAAGGATCATCGCAAGTCGGCCTGTGCACTGCACTATACGGTGGCAGTACGGTGGCGCCACCTGGTGCCGTCACGGTGTCACGAGGGTTATGGAGGGCAATGCAAATCCTGTGACAGGAGAGATAGAAGTGTGGTTTTGAGACGTCTCAAAACTACACTTCTATCACGAGGGTTGTACAGTGCTCGAATGCAAACGCAGGAGGGGAAATGAGAGAGCTACGGGCAGCAGGAAGGCGCACGGACGACCGCGTATCGGCGCTGCGCGCGGAACGAATTTTGAGACTCACGGTCTCGTGTACCAGCGCTGCATGCGGCTACTACCCGGACAGGTAGTATCTATACTACAGTGCGACCCGATAGTAGTAAGCGGGTCGGACAGTGCGTTCAGGCATTGCGCGTGATCAGTCTGTTGCGGTCACCGCTGCTTGGCGCGGGCGGATCGTACGGTCTAGGGTTCGTACCAGGGTCGTGAGCGAGAGGAAGGTGAGAAGTTGCGCCGTGGCACAAAAGACGTGCACGGCGTGCCGTTGATGCCAGCTGGCCCTCGCCATCGGACGGCTCTCGCCGAGCGGAAATACCATGCAACACGATAGGTATCGAGTGTAGACTCCTTAAAATACTCTTTTAAGAAATATTAGATACTCCTGAAGAAATCATTTGTGGAAGACTCCTGGATATGCGGGCCTGTGTTTGGTCTCCCTCGACTCGACTCGGATCTACGGAGGACTCTTATCCCTTACTCGTACTTGTTCTGACGAAATCTACACTTGAGTACTGCTTGATCTCTCCACTTTGCCTCGAAAGTAGATTTTTGGGTAGGGAGGCGTCGTCCACGTAACATCATTGCTATGCGATCCGGTGTACTACCTACCCACTTACACGTACCTGCCTTGTACAGTAGTGAACGCGCCCCGGCGCACTCTCAACCAGCCCAACTGCTGTGCGCGCCAAGTCAGCTCGAGGCGACTCCCGACTGACATGACTCGTTACAAACCAGCAGCACAAGCTTCGTTGCTGCTGCCGATAGTCGCGCTAGTCTTTGGTAGGTAGGAAGTCGTCCAAGTCAATATACCAAGTCACGCCCCACCTAGAGCCTTTCCTTGCTGTCGTGCCAAACAGAGTTCCATCAATACTGTACTCGCTAGTACCAGCGCGTTTTGATGTGGTTGACACACCGAAAAATTAGCCACAAGCAACTTCGTAACTATCTACTGCCTTGAGACTTTCCTCTGCGTTGGGCGATTCTTGGCGACCAAAACCTTGTAACAATTTAGTTTTAACGGCTACGGGAAATACTAACGATGACTCATGATTTGGCGCCAGCGTAGCGTCTAGCTACCAGCATGCGACTGCTTTTCCTCACACTCAACATCTAACCGTCAGTTACACTGCTACCGGCTCGTCAGGCCGTCAGTTTCTGAACGTAGACAGTAAAGTGATGCGCAATTCTATTGGCTGCGAAATCCCACTGTACATGTGCGATTGATAATGTCAGTGATCAAACCTGTGTGTTCAGATGCGCAAAAAACAACCTTGTAACAAGTTTGGTCGTGTAAAACACCTACTTGTTCAGGTGTTGGTTGTTACGAGGTTCGAAATGCATCCTAAAAGGGGCACATATCTAAAAGGTCCTACAAGGTGCAAGCGTGGTGGACAGGTGCAAGGGGAGGGTTGGTTTTGCTCGCTGCTGGGAATATCACTGGTCATAGCTTCCCAGCCCTTCGATTGTGAATCTTTGCATCCAACGACCAGTATGCGTGCGGCTCCAGTTTCCCTTCCTTCTTCACATCGTCGCCCGCTCGCCGCGCGCTGCCAGCAGCGTATTCATCCCCTGTATAAGACCATCAGCTACCACTTCTAGCCTGATTCTTCAAACCGCGCTTATCCTTACCAGAAAGAATGGCCTGGCCAAAACTGTCCTTGGCCTTCTTCCTACCACCAGCACCACCACCAGCACCAGCACCCCCTCTCTCGCCCCTACCCCTGCCCCTCCTGCCCCTCCCCCACTGCGGATCCGCCGGCCAAACGCCAGCTCAGCAGCCCTCGCAGATGCCAGGCTGGCATCGCCCATCGCCACGTCATGATCCTCCATAACCCTGTAGTCCAAATTCCCCTCTCCGTCATTCCCCCCTGCGCCCACACCCTATTTGGCTCCTCCTTACCTCCCCTTACCACCCTCTCCCCCCTCGGTCTCATTCGGAACAACTATCGTTCCATCCTCTGTATACTCGAAGCCAGAATCCTCCCCTTCCTCTCCCCATCCCCATCACGATGCCGCTTCGAACCACCACCACCACCAGTATGCCCCCCACTACCAGCAACAATAGCACCAGAGGAAAGGGTTCCTCCGGCTTCGAGCTTCAGAATCCATTGCAGCTTCTCCTGCGAGGTGTAGGAATTGTGCTTGTGCTTTGTCGTCTTGTGCCTGGGGGAGGGAGGACGGGCATCCACGATTATCGCTAGATGGGTGGGGCCTTTTTTTATTCGGAGGGGGAAAGGAGGGAATTGAAAGGTGCTCGGGGAGACCGTCAGCAGCCCAGAACTCCACGTCGTCGTCCGCACCGATAGCGGATTCGTCCAACGGGCAATCAGCCGGCGCTCCCCATCGTGGCTCCGGTGCGGAGGAAGATCCTTGAGAAGAAACGAGGAATGGAATGACTAAGGGAAAGTTGGGTACAAAATGCAAACCCTAGGAAAACTGTACCCCATATGTGCTACCCCACTATAGCCTACAGTAGCTATGTCATATAAATCTGACACACCCCCATAGGCAAAGTGGGGGAGAACAAGGGGTCACAAGACCAGTCAAGCAAAGCAAAACAAGCTCAGGGTGGATCACAAAGTCACCACACATTCCGAGCACAAGTTCAAGGCCACAAGGCCAGTTCACATGCAGGATTACATATATATATAAGGCTAGACAAGCAAGAGCAGGTGTATATATATATGCAACAGTACAAACAAGGTCAAGGGGTGAGCAAGTGAGGCAAGGTAGGCACAAGACCCAGCTGAGTACAGAAGCGCTGATGATCACAAGGCGCAAGTGCCTTGGTGAAGATATCAGCAGTGTTGGCCTCAGAGGCCACGTACGCAAGCCGCAGCTGACCACGCTGCTGTAGCTCACGAGCAAGGAAGTAGCGGAGAGCAATGTGCTTCGTTCTGTGCTCCAGTCTCTGCTCTCGACACAAGGCCAGCATGGCCTTGTTGTCTACGTACAGTACTGGAGGAGAACGAGGCGGCTCTCCGAGGTCAGTCAGCAGGTAGGTGAGCCAGCGAAGCTCCTGTGCAGCCATGGCCCCGGCGTAGATCTCAGCCTCACAACTGGAGCCGAGGACAGAAGACGAGCGGGTAGCCCGCCACGAAACAGAGCCGGAACCAAGGCTGAAGGTGTAACCCTGTGACGACCGCTGCGTAGCCTGGTCGTCAGCCCAAGAAGCGTCTGCGTGCCCAGTGAGGACCACTGGACTCTGCCCTCCAAGCACAAGCCCCATGCCCGACGTACTGCACAAGTAGCGCAACACCCTCTTCGCTGCAGCCATGTGCTCCGATCTGTGTCTCCCAGGAGCAACATAGCGTGCAAGAATGCTAAGAGGGTATGCAAGGTCAGGTCGAGTGCAGGTCATCAGGTACATGAGGCAGCCAACAAGCTCTGGGTACGGGCCACTCGACTCTACGGACTCATCCGAAGGCAGAGCTGAGAGCGAGTGACGAGTAGGCAGAGGAGTGGCCTGAGGCGAGGAGTACGTGAAGCCGAAGCGCTGAAGGACCTGCTGCACCATGTGTGACTGAGTCAGGGTAATGGTGCGGCGTGCTCTGTCCCGGGTGATCTGCAAGCCAAGGTAGCTGCGCAGTTCACCCAGGTCTGTGCACGTGTGTCTCTTCTGCAGCTCAGAATTCACGTGGGCGAGTCCAGCAGTGTCAGCTGTGGCGAAGACCAAGTCGTCGACGTACACGAGGATGTAGAACGGCGGCAGAGAAGTGTCGGTGCGCAGAAACAGCGACGGGTCGGCAGTAGAGGGAGCAAACCCAAGAGCCGCAAGTGTAGTCCTCAGTGTGTCGTGCCACTCACGCGGTGCCTGGCGGAGACCGTAGACTGGCCGCCGGAGGCTCCACTGGGTGCCAGGAGGAAAGGACCCAGTGAAGCCAGGTGGGCGACGCAGCCAGATCTCCTCGTGCAGGCTGCCCTGCAAGAAAGCAGTGCTGAAGTCAAGAGAGTGCAGCTCGTAGTCGCGGTGAGCAGCAATGTGCAGCAGTACCCAAAGAGTGGTCATCTTCGGGGTGGGAGAGAAGGTCTGAAAGTAGTCAACTCCCTGCCGCTGACTGAAGCCACGAGCCACGTAACGCGCCTTGAAGACAGGCGGAGAACCCGGCGGCCGCTTCACCCTGAAAATCCACATGCCACTGACGATGTTCGCCCCAGGCGGGGGAACCTCGTCAACGTAGGTGCCTGTGGACTTCCAGGAAGCCATCTCTGCGTCCATAGCTGCCTGCCACTGAGAGGAGTAGGGACCCTCTATCGCCTCCGCGTAAGAGCGCGGAGTCGGGATGTCAAGTGCATCCGGGTCTCCCTCAGGGGTAAGCAGTACGGACACGAGATGAGGTGAAGCAGCAGCCAAACACTGGAACTCCTCCTGCCTGTCCTCAAGGACGTCCGTGCCAAGGGCACACTCACCCCCGACGGACGGAGGACAGATAGACTCAGACTCAGCAACAAGACTAGCAGCGTAGTCTAGACGACAGCGAGCAGCAAAGTCGACGAGCTCAGTAACTAGGGCAGAAGCAGCAGTGGACTCAAAGGAAGGGTCAGTGACAACAGTAGCAAGGAGACGCGTGACAGTAGGACTGGCAGCACGAAGAGAGTCCGACTCCGGGTCAGGAAAAGCAGGAAGAGAGGACTCAGGAGGAGAAGGCAAAGGGGCACGCAGAGGAGCAGTGGACGGACGCAGAGACATCCGGTGCGTGCCAGGGACAGGAGGAGGACGCTGACGCGAACCATGACCACTAGTGCGA